TCATCTCTGGATGTGAACCAGGGTGTCCTATAAGCTGTGCGCTTGTGCAGCCACTCAGAAGAGTTTCAAATGCCACCCAGCTGATTAGCAGAGTGCACACTGCCAGGTTTTAGTTTCTACTGGTGGTGCACATGAACACATGCCTCAGTGCACATAAAATTTATTCCACACATGGACGGAAAAAGCTTAGCGGGAACATTGGTGTGGATTCAAACAGTTGGAAGCTTGTATAACGCAGCCCTCTAATTCCTACGGCTTTGTTTACACACCCAAGTGGTCCCATCCTAGCGACAGCAGTAGAAAGAAGTACAGTTCTCCTAATGGGGATACTTAAACCCGTATTGCATAGTCTCTCATGGGAAGGAAAATAAACTATCCTGCTGTAAGGCACTTTTATACCTGAGTAATTGCACACACATTAGGGCTGTGTCTAGACTGGCCAGTTTTTCCAGAAAATCAGCCGCTTTTCCAGAAAAATTTGCCAGCTGTCTACACTGGCCACTTGAATTTCCGCAAAAGCACTGACTTCCTACTGTAAGAAATCAGTGCTTCTTGCGGAAATACTATGCTGCTCCCATTCAGGCAAAAGTCCCTTTTGCGCAAAAGGGCCAGTGTAGACAGCTGAGAAGCCCCGATCGTGAAAATGGTGATCGGGGTTTTTTTGCGCAAAAGCGCGTCTAGATTGGCCACGGACGCTTTTCCGCAAAAAGTGCTTTTGCGGAAAAGCGTCCGTGCCAATCTAGATGCTCTTTTCCGAAAATGCTTTAAATGGAAAACTTTAATCATGAAAATTAATCTAGAATAAGATAGGCTGTGAATTTAAACCACTTAATTATTGTTGATTAACAACTGCTGATTTAGACCCTTTTATTCTGGAATAAGGATGCTATTGATTTTGGAAGCAGATTCAACTAATTCAAGAGAAGGCACTCTAATTCCAGAAAAAGAGCATGAAGACATGGAATCAGTTAGGAATAGTTCATCAGAATAACTCTCCATGTACACAAACGCTAACTCAGATCACCAACACAAGCATTTCATACATTCATATAGATTGACAAATTGCAAAGCAAGAAGGGACCACTATGACCATCTAAGACCAGGTCTGCATTTTGTGAGAAAATTGATTTAAGATATGCAACTGCAGCTACAAGAATAGTGTAGCTGGAGTTGACCTACCTTAAGTCTAATTTCTGTGGTGCCCCCACTGTGGAAGGCTATGTCTAGACTGCCACTTTTTTTGGAAAAAGGTACACAAATTGCCCTTTGCAATTTACGTACCTTTTTCTGATTGTTTTTTTGGAAGAGGCTTTTCCCAAATTTGGCCCACCTACACTGGGCCAAATTTCGGAAAAAACCTCCTCTTTTGGAAGAGCCCTTCTTCCTCGTGAAATGAGGAAGACAGGGCATCCGAAAGAGCGCAGCTGCTCTTCTGCAAAAAATGTCAGAAGAGCAGATGCGTTCCCTGGACATGGTGGAGTTTTTCAAAAAACTCCATAGTCTAGACATAACCAGAGATTGATGGGAGAAACCTCTTCCCTTACTCCTTGCGACCCCATGGGGTAGCGGGGTTGATAGGGGCGCCATCGACGGTTGATTTAGCAGGTCCTTACTAGACCCGCTAAATCAAACCCTGGAAGGTTGATCTCTGGAACATCAAGCTCGGGATAAATGTAGACCTGACCTAAGTCTGACTCGCATAACATAGGTCTGAATTAATTCCTGTTGGATACAGAGCATATCTTTTAGATCCAATCTTGATTTAAAAGTTTGCAGTAATATAGAATGCATCACACCCCTTATTTCTAGTCTTAATTTGTCTATCTTCAATTTCCAGCCACGGAATCATGGTAAACTTTACTCTGCTGGACTGAAGAGCCTCCTGTGATGGTGTACACAAACCATGCACTGACCAAGAATGGGTTAGTGAAAGCCCCACCCTGTTATACCAATGGCAGGTGTCAAGCCTTGAGAGAGGAGATAAAAGAGGAAAAGCTCAGCTCACTGGTGGCTGATTAGGAGAGGGAGTAGATCTCTTGAAATTGCCTTGTGAAGAAAGGTCCTTATTTACCTCTCCCCTCCTCCGTGTCTCCCCTCCCGATCTGAATGAACTGTGTCATAGCAGCTGATAAACTGAGCTGGGTCAGGTGAGGTGGGTGACTAGATGGGAGATGTCTGCTTAGGACGTGGTGTTTTTGAGACAGCGGGGGTGCTCTTCTCTTTGATTCATCGGGGACCCACAATGTTATACTGCAAAAGGCATTCTCTTTCATATGAAATGTGCCAAGGAAACGTAGCCTATGGGTGGCCATAGTTACATTCAATTCTTCATTCACTACTGCAATGGTTTTGCCAGGGCTGGCCTTACCGTGAGGCGAACTTGGGGGGGGGGGGCACCACTAGGACCCACAGTGTAGAAAATTGTGTCTGCTGCGGGTGCAGATGTGTTCTCTCTGTTCTAGATGCAAAGATGGTGGAGTGCTGTGCTGGAGGAAGGAGGGCACAAGAGACATAACAGGCAGGCAGGAGAAAAGGGGACATGGGGGGGTCTTTTGAGCTCCCTGCCTCAGGTGCCAAAATGTTGTGCCAGCCCTGGTTATTGCAACATTGTTTGGTGGTTTAATTAAGAGTACCCCTCAAACCACTGAGGGCTAGCTCAGTGGTTTGTGCATCAGCCTGCTAAACCCAGGATTGTGAGTTCAATCCTTGCCGAGGCCATTTGGGGCAAAAATTCATCAGGGGTGGTACTTGGTCCTTGGTCTTGCTGAGAAGTCAGGGGACTGGACTTGATGACCTTTCAAGGTTCCGTCCAGTTCTAGGAGATAGGCAATCTCCACTATAATCTTTTTTTATTTGGTTGTAAGCTCTCTGGAAAGGGAGTGTGTTTTTTTTGCAAGTTGTACACCAGAGGAAATTGGGTAAATGACAGATTTTTCGGGACACTGACCATTCTGAAAAAATCAAGGAACTAATTGTCTCGAATTTAACTGAAAATCAGAAATTTCAAAACAGCAGATAAACTGAAAATTTGGGAGGGAGGAAATCACATGAAACATTTGAGTCAACCTAAAGCAAAATGATTTGCTCGAATTTGGAGCATTTTTTTTAATGTCAATACCCTTAAAGGAATTTTTTAAACAAAAAGTTGTTTTGAACCAAAATGCCAAAATGTTTCATTTCAAAACAGACAGAACAGGACGCTGTGGATTTTGGGGATTTGGTTTCCTTTTTCGCATGAATCTGCCAACATTGTAGCATTGCTGAATCTGCACTGTTCAATGAAAAAAAATGTATTAGATAAAAAATGTCATGCTATTCTTGTCCTGGTCCCTGATGGGAATATCTAGACATAATCCATTGGAGAGGATAGATTCCAGGTGGACCTCTTTGCTAACTCATAGAGGAGCGGAATCTATTATACCCCCCCTCCCCCTCCAGCTAGAGAACCTTAGCCCCAAGACACAAGGCTGGTCGGGAATTTTTGACTACGTATTTTTTTCACCAAAACTCACCGATTTCATCAAAACTGAAACTGTTCATGAGAAAGAGTCAATTTCACTGAATGTCCTGGCTTTAATAAAAGTGGGAAAAGAAACATCCCATTTTGGCATTTTCTAAATGAAAAGTTTTTTCAGTTCAAACATTTTTTCTTTCAAAATTTAATTTAACTCCATGTATACTTAAAAAAAAAAGTTGAAAAGGGGGCATACGGTCAAAATCCACACGAAACTTTTCAAAATGATCAAACTGTTTCCATTGACCCAAACTGATTTTTTTCCCCAGAGTGTCAGTTTACAAAAAACATTCAAGATTTTAACTTTTCATCCCAATTCAGGACAGAGAAAATTTCCACTGTCATGCTGGAACTCTTCATGGGATGGGAAAACCAATTTCTGGCCTGCTCTAGTAGCAGTCCAGGCTTCTAAGCTCTGCAGGTCTTGATTCAGTCCCTGAAGCATCTGCCAAGATGGTAGCTATAGCATGAGAACAATGCAGACCTAGCTGTATTGGAGCCTCCAGGTAAATGAGAATCAAGGCTACATCTAGACTGCAGGCTTTTTGCACAAGACGCTTTTGTCAGAAGAGATCTTCCTCAAAAACGTATTGCGTAAGAGCACGTCTACACTGCAAAAGCGCATCGAAAAAGCGATGCAATTTTGCACAAGATTGCATCCAGACTGCATGGATGCTCTCTCAAAAGTAAGGTGTGCACAGAATGACCACCAGGGCACCAGTGCTTTTTCCTCGTTCCTCTTTTTGCGCAAAAAATGCCTCTTCCCTGTCCACACACGCTTTTTTGTGAAAGCACTCTTTCGCAAAAAGGCTTTTTCCTTGTAGAAAGAGGAATACCAATTGCATGAAAACTCCTCTGTTCTTTTGATTTACTGTCAATTTACTGTCGAAAGAATGTGCTTGCAGTGTGGACACTCCACGAGTTTTTGTGGAAAAACAGCCGATTTTCCGCAAAAACTTTGTAGTGTAGACATAGCCTCTGGCCTACTAGATCTATGGGATTTATAATCTGACCCATAGTTCTTAGATTCTAAAGAGAATTAGTTCATCAGTGGGAGACACACACACACATATGAGGAAAATTGCAATAAGACACACGGCAACGGACCGAAAGACAAAGGGAAGCACAGATCTAGCCAAGGTGGTTTTGTTCTAGAAAGCTTTTAATTCACTTTATTAGTACCGTGGTTAGTCATAGTACTTCGTTTTGTTTTGTTTTGTTTTTTTCATTGAAACACTCGTTAAAACACTTCATAGAAGTAGCAGAGATTTAAAGTGCATGCGCAATCGAGACCAATTTGTTTGACAAATATGTGCTTCTCCGGAACGTTAAACTTCCCTGATCCAGCTGAAGAGGGTGTGTGTGAGAGACAGACAGACAAATGGACAGACAGAGGAAAGCACAGTGTGAAAGAACGGTTTTTAGTGCGAGAGGCCAGTGTATAAGACCGCCCAGAGGGCCCAGGCAGCACAGCCGTACAAGTTACCTGAAATGTTCACCCCCGCTCCCAGGCTGGCGCTGTCTGTTGGCAGGACGGGGAGAGGGCGGGTGGCGGTCAAAGGGGCATCTGTGAAAGGGATCCCCTCCAATGCCGGGCCCGATGCTTCTTTGGAGACATCTGCAGGGAGGGAGGTGAGACCGTCCTTGGGGGCAGACGAACACCCGTCCCGTTCTAGTTCTCCGGGAGTACCCGTGGGGGATAAGGCTGCCGTTGTCATGGTAGCGGAGGGAACAATTTGCTCTTCATCAGTCTCCTCCTCCTCAGAGGTGATGGGGCCGCGCACGCTGGAGTCAGGCGGCGCCACCAACTCACGTCCCACCATCTGGGTGTCGTTCTCGGCTGGAGATTCCCCACCGGGGGGCAGTGCGGTATGGACCTGGCCTGCTTCTGTGTGTGAAACAGTCACCGTCCCCTCAGGTCGGGAGACAGAGCCTGTGTCCTCCACCTGGGAGCGGGTGGCGGCGGGCAGCGGAAGCCAAGTAGAACCCGAGTGTTCCTCGCTCTCCTGGAGGTGGGACGTTCCCAAACCAGGGGGTACCGAGAGCAGGGTATCCTGAATCACTGGGGTGCCTTCTGGCCATGCTGTAGCCAGAGCTGCCTCTCCAGATAGCTCTGCATCTTCAGCAGCACCCAGGTGTCTGCCCGGGTCAGGGAAGCGTGTGCTGCTCAATCCAGAAACAAGCCTACTCGGTGAGGAAGTGTAGGTCAGGGTACGGTACGTAGAAAGCTCTCCATCACCGGCCTCCTGGCCTGGTTGTTTGGGATCTTCTCCCTCCCACCCTGCAGTGGGGGCAGCAGAAGCCGCAGCTGTAGGAGTGGGCTCTAGCACCCCAGAGTCCTCCTCCATGACCCTGGAGCTGGTGTTACGAGCCGGCGGCTCCAGCACATCCACCTTCCTGGAACCAGGGATGAAATCCACTTCACCGCTTACTCCCGGGAGATGAGCCTCAAAGACATCAGCAGTACTGCCTTCTACTGTGGCTTCCTCTCCGGGCGCAGGGTGCGACCCAATGGGACCATGAGACACATTGGGATGGAGCGCATCGCTGGATCCGGCTAGTTTCGTTGAGATTTCTGCTGGCACATGCGTAGGGCTGGTGGTCAAGTCTCCATCAGTCATGTCTGCCTGTGTGTGGAAGGCCCTGGACCATGGCTCTCCCACAAACACTGCAGTGGGATGAACTAGTTTCGGCACCCCATCTGATCTCTGCTGGCTGCTGTGGGTTGTCTCCTCTATGGCAGCCGTCACGTTCTCTCCCTCCAATGAAGACCTCAAGGTTTGCGCTGGGTCAGTTCCATGCTCTTCCTCTGCAAAATTCAAATGAAAAAAAGTCAGTGCTCAAACCACCCACTGCCACCTGCAGTACAATCAGAGCTGCTTGGAAAAGACGGGGGGGGGGGGTTCATCCCACGGGGAAAACGGCAACATTTCAAATTACGTTCCCGTTCTGCAAAAAGCTGAAATAGCAAAACTCATTGAGGAACAAAACACTTGAGATGAAATCACAGACTCATAGACTAAAAGAAGGAACCTCGAAGGATCATCAGGTCCAAACCCCTGCCCTGACAGCAATGCCAAGCACCATTTAGATCATCCCTGACAGAATCCCACGGGGAAAACGGCAACATTTCAAATTACGTTCCCGTTCTGCAAAAAGCTGAAATAGCAAAACTCATTGAGGAACAAAACACTTGAGATGAAATCACAGACTCATAGACTAAAAGAAGGAACCTCGAAGGATCATCAGGTCCAAACCCCTGCCCTGACAGCAATGCCAAGCACCATTTAGATCATCCCTGACAGATGTTTGTCTAACCGGCTCCAGCGATGGAGATTCCACAACCGCCCTTGGCAATTTATTCCAGTGCTTAACCACCCTGACAGTTAAGAAGTTTTTCCTAATGTCCAACCTCAACTTCCCTTGCTGCAGTTTAAGCTCATTGCTTCTTGTCTGATCATCAGAGGTCTAAGGAGAACAATTTTTTCCTCTCCTCCTTGTCATACCCATTTAGGTTCTTAATAGCTACTATCTCGTCCCCTCTCAGTCTTCTCTTTTCTAGACTAAACTAACTCAATTCTTTCAGTCTTCCCTCCATAGCTCTTGTTCTCTAGACCTTTAATCATTTTTGTTGCTCTTCTCTGGACCTTCTCCAATTTCTCCACATCTTTCCTGAAATGTGGTACCCAGAACTGGACACAATACTCCAACTGAGGCCTAATCAGTGCAGAGTAGAGGGGAAGAATGACTTCTCGTGTCTTGCTTACAACACTTCTGCTAACACCATAAAATGATTCACCATGACAAAGCCAGGCTTTTCATATTTTGAAACCAGGCTTTTCAATTCAAACTGCCATTTTGGAAGAAAAATGTCATTAATAATCATAGCCTTTCTGTAACATTTGCCCTTAAATCGCTCATCCACACTGTATCTATCTTAGATATCTTACCATTCTATGTGAGCAGCTCCCATCTTACAACAACCCTGTGAGAGGGCAACACTGAAGCACAAGAGGCAAACTGACTTCGCCAAATTTACACAGAGACTGTGTCTAGACTGGCCAGTTTTTCCGGAAAATCAGCGGCTTTTTCCGGAAAAACTTGCCAGCTGTCAACACTGGCCGCTTGAATTTCCGCAAAAGCATTGACTTCCTACTGTAAGAAATCAGTGCTTTTTGCGGAAATACTATGCTGCTCCCGTTCGGGCAAAAGACCCTTTTGCGCAAAACTTTTGCACAAAAGGGCCAGTGTAGACAGCTGAGATTTGTTTTGCACAAAAAAGCCCCGATCGCGAAAATGGCGATCAGGGCGTTTTTGCACCAAAGCGCGTCTAGATTGGCCACGGACGCTTTTCCACAAAAAGTGCTTTTGCGGAAAAGTGTCCGTGCCAATCTAGATGCGTTTTTCCAAAAATGCTTTTAACGGAAAACTTTTCTGTTAAAAGCATTTCCGGAAAATCATGCCAGTCTAGACATAACCAGAGAGTTTGTGCAGAAAAGGGAATTTAATCCAGTTTTCCTGTAACCCAGGCTGTTGCCCAAACTACTAGACCAGGGGTGGGCAATAATTTTTGATGGGGGCCACTCCAAGATTTTGGAAGGTGGTCAAGGGCTGCACTCTTCCATGGCATTAATGGAGGAGGTGAGGCATCTGGGATAGAGGTTTGGTGCAGTAGGAAGCTTGGGGTAAGGGATTGGGGTGCAGGAGGGAGAATGGAGTCTGGGGGGGAAGTTTGAGTGAAGGAGGCAGTTGTGACCTAGGGCAGGGATCTAGGGTGCAGGGTTTTGGCATGTGACCTAGGAGAGGAGGGGACTGTGATCTCGAGCAGGAGATTGGGGTGCCAGATCCGGGAGCAGGTATGGGTGCATGTGGAGTAGCGGGGCAGGAGCGGGGGGCAGAGGGTTGGGGAAGGAAGGGACTGGGGTGCCGAGGCAGGTTCTGGACAGGAGTCTTACCAGTCAGCAGCTAAACCAGCCTACCAGCCTGCTTGCAGAGCTAAAGGCTTGCAGAGCTTAAAATGTTTCTGCCTCCTCGGCCATGTGCTTGAGTGAGTAACTGAGCAGGAGGGTTGTGCTTCATGGCTGCCTGTTATTCAAATGGGCAGCTTCCATTGGCCAGTTTCTGTCCAGAAATCGGCCAATGGGATTGTGCTGGAGACAGGAGCAGAGTCTGAATCTTCGCCACTCCTCTCCAGACTCATAAAGAGAAAGTGCCCTGCAACCACGTTTCTGAGCGGCATGTGGTGCTGCAGCGCAAGCAGGGGAGCCTGCCTGGGGCTCCCCAATGCTTCAATGAGCTGGATCTGGTGGCTTGGAAGGCCGGAAGCGGCCCGCAGGCTGTATGTGGCCCAGGCCTGCACTAGACCATCCCCTCTCCATGTTTTGCTCCCCTACCATCAATGTTAACTCCATTTTAACAGTGATTTGTCGGAATTATAAACCAGATGGTGTCATCTCCCATTTAAATGAATTGAGTGAGGCCACTTACACCAGGTGAAGGAGCTGGTCCCGAGTCCTTTGTTGCCAGAACTACAAAATGAACTGGCTCTGGGCGCACATTTCACTTTTCATCCCTATGTGATTTCCCCCCTCTCTTTTTGCCCCTTTTATTGCATTCAATGAGGAAGACAGGAAGTAGCCAGCAACCATCTTGGATCCAGGTTCCCAACCTGCCATGACTTTCCCTAAGCCCGACTCTAGTTCAAGCGAATGGGAATTTGGTACAATTGGATTTTTCATGTAATTTCAACCAGGAGGAAAAAGAAGCTGAATGTGTCTGACAAATGTTTTTTAGTTTTTTGATTCCCCCAGGATGGAAACATTTCAGAGCATTTCATTGAGGTTTCAAAGAAACAGATAAAAAAAATCCCAAAATGAACATTATCTTTTGTTCTACTGGTTCTTCAACCAGCTCTCCCCATCAATATGGCCAGTGAAAATATCGGGAGAGGTGCTGACAATGGGTCCAACTGACATGAGCCACTGGATTCACCCACGATTGCCAAAGGTGCGCAACTCTCAATATAAAGCGGGCATCCAAATCGGTTTGGCTTCTTGTCAACAAAGCCCGATGGGACTCTAGAGTTTTGGGCACATGCCTTCAAAGCTGCATTTGTGACTCCTTCCCAGACATCACCCTACAAACCAGTCCTTGATCACACCTACCATTCCTGGGTGGCTCTGTGCAATTTCTACTTCCCCCTTTTCTCCCATCCTCATGTGGAGACGCTGGGCTCCCTGGTTTTGCTCCATAGCTCATCAGACCTGCCTCAGGACTGGCCGGGCTCTCGGGGGATTGTGGTGGCAAGTGAAGTCCTAGATCGGAGGTGATGGAATTATTTATTGGGGATCCCTGGGAGACAGGAATAGGGGCTTCTTCGGGGACACTGCTTGGCCTTGGCATCTCAGCGTCAGTTGTGGCCTGAAAAAGAGGGATAGTGTAGATGGCCCCTCTCGACTCATTCTCCACTTCCGCTGTGGGTAGCTGCAGCTCCTCCATCTGTTCTGTCACTGTCACAATCTCCTTGAGGCCCTCGGGAACAGTGGCTCGGTGTTTTTCTGGTGACTCGGTGAAAGAGTCTGTCTCTTCTGTGGGCAAAAAGAGAATGGGAGATTACTGTCTTGGCCTGTCCTGTAGGCCTCGGACAGAGGCCCCTGCCAAGCCACACCCTTCCCAAGCAGGACCACCCTCCACGTGGTTGAAGTGAGGCAGAAAGGGTGAGCCGGATTCACCCTGGTGAGCTCCAGTGACTCCCATGGAGTTTCTTCAAGCGGAGGCAAAAGCCAGATGTGGGAGCTCAGCGCCTCTGCAAAATCGGGCCCTCAGCAGCTACGGAAATATCCCCTCAGATACTGTGAGCAACATATACAGGGTCTGTCTCTTCACGAGCTGCTTTCCTGACAGAACAAAGCCATAGACGTGGACATCTATATCAGACAGGGCACGGCTGTTAGGGATGCCAGATGGTTGAACCAAAAATATCGAACGACCCCCCCCCAAAAAAAAAACACCAGGGAAAAAAATCTGTTGAAGAAAAAAAAAGTGGGGGGGAGACCAAACTTGTTGAGCAAAAGAAAAGGACTTTGAGACTTATTAATAAATAAATAAATACATAAATACATAAATACATAAATAAAAATAAAACAGCATGGCCCCTTTCAGAGCGAGTGCAGAGTCAGAATAGGGATAGGAGCACGAAGACCCAGGGAAGGCATTGCTTCCTCTTAGTCTTTAGGCTTTTTGCCAGCAGCCATTTTGTGTTCTTGTTCAAGCCAGAACTTAGCTTCCCTGTGGAACCAGATAAACATAGTGTCCGTGAGTGAGGGTGTCAGGGCCCTGGGGGGGGAGGCCGGGTACTGGGCCCAGGCGCTAGGGTTTCCAGGTGTCCGGTATTTTCACCTCCTGTCTGGGAAAAAAAATCAGAAAATACTGAACATTTTAGGTGTCTGGTATTTTCTAAATTTTTTTTACCGGACAGGAGGCGCAAATACCGGACTGTCCAGGTCAATACAAGACACCTGGCAACCCTACCCCCTGTTCTATTATGGTGCATTCGCATGTAGCACAAGTCACCTGCGGAGGAGAATTTGAGCCCAGGATCGAGGTTGGTGGCGGTGTGCCGGTGCCAATGCACCCCTGAAATCCCATTTAAACCCATATCTGAGCAGGGCCCTAGACCTAACACTAGCCCCTCAGCATGGTGGGAGGGGGGAAAATTTCACCCCAAGGTCTTTCTGGCCTTGCTGGCAAATTTGTCTGCAACCCTGGCAACGGAGCCTTTACCTCGAAAGCAATACACATCGTATCTGCTCTGGGCATCAGGGAATCCAGTCTGGTTCCGGAACAGGAAGATGGTTTTGACTCCCGGCAGGCTCCCGCCGCCCCGTTCCCGGGGGGTGACAATGGGGTAGCGGACACTGCCGTCAGCCAGCCAGCCCGAGCTGCAGTGGTCCAGTCCTTCATTCCAGGCGGCATACATCTGGCCTGGTGTCGCTATCTCTGCTCCCAGCTCCTGACAGTGCGCCTTGGCCTCCTCCAGGGTGAATTTGTCTGGGGCTGTCCCGAAAAAGAGTTCTCCTGCAAACACAGATGGAGGGGAAGGAATCAGAGCCAAGAGGGTCTCAGCCAGCCCAGGAAAGCGGGGTCTTTTGGCCTTTCCTCCACTCCCATTTCTTATTGTTTCCTATGGCTGTAGGGCCCACATTCGAGTGGGGCACTAGGAGGCTGGGGGAGCACTGGGATGGGTTCCCTAGGAGGGTGTGACATAGTGGGGGTACCTTGCTGGGGCTGTGGGCGACCTCTGCTGTCTGTAGCACGACCCAGGAGGGCAGGGGGTGAGTCATTATGCAAAGGGGGCTCCAAACCTGTCTGACCAGCTACCCCCCAGGGAGAGAAACAAAGGAAGGTGGAATGCCGCCCCTGGCTGGGGGGCAGGGCTGGAAGAGAGTTAGTTAGTTTCTGTCTGGGAAGCAGGGGAGAAGGAGCTAGGGAGAGCGCTGGGATTTAGGGGCCCAGCCACCCCCCATCTCAAGGGGGGGCACTGAGGCCTCCTAGTCCCAGTTCCTGTAACCGGATTACATCTGTGCTGTGCTGTATCCTGGAGAAGCAATAAACTCCCCTATTCTACTGGCTGGTGGAGTCTGTTTGTGCCATTTCGGGGGTGCAGGAGACGGGAAAATCCCAACGCGTCGTCACAGATGGAATCTCCATCCCCAGAGGTTTTTAAGTCCTGGCTTGACAAAGCGCTGGCTGGGATGATTTAGTTGGGGTTGGTCCTGCTTTGAGCAGGGAGTTGGACTTGATGACTCCTAAGTCTCTTCCAACCCTCTGGGTACGTCTACACAGCGGGGCTATTTCGGGATACCGGAAGTATCCCAGAATAGCTGCCCTGCATCTTTTGAATGCGCCTGCTATTTTGAGATAGGTCTTGAAATAGCGGATGCGCTGTTTCGGCATCCCTGTAACCTTCATTCCACAAGGGTTAAGGAATGTCTTGAAATAGCGCTTTATTTCGAAATGTGGCACTGTGGAGATGCGCCAAATTTCAAGAGATGCTATTTTGATATTCAATCAAAATAAGATACGCGGTTGGCATAGCGCCAATTGTGTATCTTATTTCGAGTATAGGGTGCTGTGTAGACACACCCCATGAGTCTATGTACCAGTAATTTAAGCCATTTCCATAGACATTCAACAAACCAACGTGACCTTCCAGGCTTGTGACACGCACACTGAATCCAAACTGATGGGGACTAATTTAGCTATGACCTTTCAAGAGAGAGCTTGGAGTCACTGTAGGGAGTTCTCTGAAAATATCAACGCAGTGGGCAGCAGCAGTCAAAAAAGCAAACAGAAGGGTAGGAATCATTTAAAAAGGGATAGAGAATAAGACTGAGAATATCTTATTGCCTCTGTATAAATCTATGGTACACCCACATCTTGTCTGCAACCCTGGCAACAGATGTGGTCTCCTCATCTATACTGGCATTGGAAAAGGTTCAGAAAAGGGTAAGAGAAATTATTAGGGGTTTGGAATGGGTACCATATGTAGAGAGATTTAAAAGACTGGGACTTTTCAGCTTAGAAGAGAGGAGACTTAAGGGGGATATGAGACAGGTCTATAAAATCATGACAGGTATGGAAAAAGTGAATGAGGAAAAATGATTTACTTGTTCCCATAACATGAGAACTAGGGGGTCACCAAATGAAATTAATAGGAAGCAGGTTTAAAAAAACAAAAGGAGGATTTTTTTCATGCAGTGCACAGTCAACCTGTGGAACTCCTTGCCAGAGGATGTTGTGAAGACAAGGACTTTAACAGGATTGAGAAAAGAACTAGATAAATTCATGCAGGTTAAGTCCATCAATACTTATTAGCCAGAATGAGTAGGATTGGTGTCCCTAGCCTCTGTTTGTCAGAGGCCGGAAATGGATGACAGGAGCGGGATCATGTGATGATTCCCTGTTCTGTTCACTCCCTCTGGGGCATCTGGCATTAGCCACTGTCAGAAGACAGGATACTGGGCTAGATGGACCTTTCGTCTGACCCAGTATGACTGTTCTTAAGCTATAGAGTGAGACATTGCACCCTGCAACAGAGACTGTGATATTCCACCAAAGACTAGAACGTGCTTCCATAAGGTCAGATAATATGATTATCATCCAAGTTATCCATGAGTTTAGGAGGTAAGCACAAAACAAAGAGTATGAACTTTGTGTTCCAGTCGACCAGAACACATGGCAAAATCATAGAACCCCAGGGCTGGAAGAGACCTCAGGAGGTCCACGAGTCCAGCCCCCTGCCCAAAGCAGGACCAACCCAACTAAATCATCCCAGCCAGGGCTTTGTTGAGCTGGGACATAAAAACCTCTAGGGATGGAGATTCCACCCCCTCCCTAGGGAACCCATCCCAGTGCTTCACCATGCTCCTAGGGAAATAGTTTTTCCTAATATCTAACCTGGATCTCCTCCACTGTAACCCGAGACCATTGTTCCTCATTCTGCCATCTGTCACCAATGAGATCAGACTCTCCCCATCGTCCTTGGAACCCTCCTTCTGATGTCAAATCCCCTCCACTCAAATCCCCAGCCTACATTGTATATTCCGGCCCCGGGCATGTGTCTAGATAGAGGACAGTTTTCCCAACAATTCAAGGCATCTCCCAGACCTTAATCAAGAGATGGACCAGAAAACAGAACAGAGTCCCAAAACCTTGGACATGGGATATGTCCTAACCCTATCCCATATCTCCTGGAAACCAGGTTAGATAGAGAAAGAACTTTTGGCATCTGCTTTGGTCACTTGCGGCAGATTCTCAGCATGCAACCAGGATGTTTTCCAGTAGCTGGAACTGAAGTCTCAGTTCTCCTCCAGGCCTGTTGAAGTCAATGGGAACAAAGGGTGCTCAGAACCTCAGTAGATCAGGCCCGTACTGAGTGAGTTACAATTGACATGCATCCAGGATCCAGCGAGGGAGTTTCTTCAAAGCTACGGCAAGGCTGCGGGGCCAAAGCCAAGCCATGTGGTGGCTTGTTCCTTTATTGAGCTTTGTACTATACTAACCCTGTACTGACTGCTATCAAAGGCAGGGAACTGGGCTGGATTGATCCAGCATGGCCGTTAAGGTGGACACAATGTACTTCTGCATCATAATTACCATGCAGATCTTCAACGTAACAGTACACATCATACACATCTTCTGGGTCCACGACGCCGTAGTTACGGACACCCGGGAGCCCATCCATGTCTCCATAACAAGCCTCACGAGGGGTCTGGATGGGGTACCTGGAATGAGAAAACACTGGTATTGATTTCCCGCAGAGAAAAGGGGAGTCAGATGGTCAGATGCTGCTCCCCAACTCTTGGGCGGCCCCCAGCAGAGGACTTAGGTGAGGCTGGCAAAGAGGCCCTCCCCAAGTGGACACTGATTTTCAGATGCCCCCTTTTTTTGGGGACACTTCCTTCAAGTCCCCTCAATGGGCTTCTTTTCCAGAAGCACTGAGTACCGGCAGCTCCCGTTGGAACTAGGGATGTTAAATATCAGTTCAATGAATAGTCGAGTAACCTCATATTTTTTTATCGGTTAGTCGACTATTCTATAGTCCCCAGGGATGGGGACGGCAGTTGCTGTATTAGAGGCAGCAGTGCAGAGGGCCAGGAGGTAGCTGGTCCACGAAGGGAGCCAGTTTAAAAACCAGCTCCCCTTCTGGACTGTCTGCCTGTCACCCAGTGCTGCTGCCTCTGATACAGAGGCAGCAGTGCAGGGTAGCAGAGCCCCTGTCTAAGGGGGAGTCTGAGCTCCTGGACCCAGAACTGAGCCAGGCTGCCTGTCTACCTAGCTCCTAATACACTTTAAATGCAGAGCTACTGCAGAGGTAGGTTCTGGACCCGGCAGGATCCAGAACTGAGCCAAGCTGCTGGCCAGCCTGCTAAAAAATTTACTGGCAAGGGCAGGGGGAGGGAAATGCATGTAGTCTATAGCATTCACCGATACGCTTTTGCTTATCGATTAATCGACTACACTGTTACATCCCTAGTTGCAACCAGCACTTTCTAAATCAAATGTGAGGCAACCCAGGCACTCCACATCAGTTGCTGCTTCTGGCTGGGAACCCAGCCACTCTGCTCGGAAGCTCCTTAAAATCAATGGGAGTCTTTGACAGCCATGGGTTGAAAGTGGGATCCTAGCGCAGTGGTTTTCAAGCTTTCCCTTTCCAGGAGTCTCCTGCAAGCCAACCAGCTGTGCCAGTTAGCTACACGGGAAGGGCAAGGAGGGCAGGATCTCCTGTTGTTTGCTGGCAATCTCCAGGCTCCAGACTCCTTCCTGTAGGGCACCAATGGATGTCCAAGAGTCCCCCCAACTTCCAATCCGCTTTGGGATTTTTGCGGGTAGAAAATTCCAATCTGATCTAATCAGGGTTTAATTTGGAGAAAAGTTCGCCAAGCCTTGTTTTGAATACAGCCATGGGCATTGACATAGAGCAGAAGTTCTCTGGCACATGGTCACCTTTTCATTACATGTGTGTGCAGGGCCTAGCACAATGGGATACCAATCCAGAATGGGGCTCTCCACGCACTATTGGAACACGTCATTATCATCACTATGCAATGAGAACATAAGAATGGCCAGATGGGGTCAAACCAAAGGCCCATCTAGCCCAGGGTCCTATCTTCTGACAGTGACCAATACTAGGTGCTCCCAGAGGGACGGAACAGAATAGGAAGTCATCATGTGATCCCACTCCCGTCACCCATTCCCAACGTTTGACAAACAGAGGCTAGGGACACCATTCCTACCCATCCTGGCTAACAACCATTGCTCCTCCAGGAATTTATCTAGCTATTTTTTTAATCCTGTTAAAGTCCTGACTTTCACAACATCCTCTGGCAAGGAGTTCCACAGGTTGACTGTGTGTTACATGAAAAATAATTTCTTTTGTTTGTTTAAAACCTGCTGTCCATTATTTCATTTGGTGACCCCTTGTTCTTATGTTATGGGAACAAGTAAATAACTTTTCCTTATTCACTTTCTCCACACCAGTTATGATTTTATAGACCTTTATCATATTCCCCCGTAGGGCATGTCTACACTAGGAAGCTATTTTGAAATAACTAAAATCGATTTAATAACTTCCAAAGTAACAAAATTGAAATAGTGTGTCCACACTACGGGAAAACCTCAAAATTAGCCCGGGGAAGGCTCCCTTAATGTGGATGCGCTACCTTGACTTAGAACCCCAGGAAGCACTGGGGAGTAAGTACCTCGAATTACTGAAGGGAGTAGTTATTCTGAAATAGCAGCACTGGTGTGTCTATACTAACACTTTCAAAATAATTATTTCAAAATTAATTTATTCCCCGAGGAAAGAGTACAGATTTCTAAATAACCACTCCATTATTTTGAAATAACGAGGTTGGTAGTATGGACGCTCCGCTGATTATTTTGAAATAAGCAGGGTCGTTCCAAACCCCCTAATCATTTATCTTGCCCTTTTCTGAACTTTTTTCAATGCTAAGATATTTTTTTTAGATGTGACGACCACATCTGAACACAGTATTCAAGATGTGGATGTACCATAGATTTACACAGAGGCAAAAAGATATTCTTTGTCTTCTTCTCTATCCCCCTCTTTTTTTTGTGACCCCTAGTTTTTGTATTATGAAAAGGATTAAATAATTCTTCTTTATTCACTTTTCTACGCCAGTCATGATTTTACAGTTCTCTATCATATTCCCCCTTAATTTTCTCTTTTCCAAGTTGAAAAGTCCTAGTCTTATTAATCTCTCATGTAGCAATGGTACGTGAAGCATTCCATTTTCGTACAGGGGAAGTGGACTGCCCCATACTGGAACTCATCATTATTCATGTCCTTAATATCCAGTGGCAGTGAGTTCCAGAGGCAAACCATGTGTCATGTGAGTGCTGCAGCCACTTGAGAATCTCACCACCGTGTGAGTTGCCCACCTGACCGTCTGGTCCGCAATCCAGCCTGCGTCGCATTGCTCGTAGCCACTGAGATAAGCAGCATACAGCTGTTCAGGGGTAGCGATCTGTGCCCCTATCCTGGCACAGGCCTCCTGAGCCTTGGCAAAGGTGTAAGCGTAGCGTGTGGAGCCCTCCCGGTAAAGGAACACCACCCCTAGAGGACAGAGTGAGAAACAGCATCTAAATGTCCTTGCCACCACAGGTACCCCATTAATCCCAGGGCAGCAGAGAGCTACAGTACAATACAATTCCCATCAACCGGAGCCAACTATGGAGCTGTCGCAATACATAATGGATCCGGGCCCTGGCACCAACAGCAGACAGGAGGTATTTGCAGTAGACCACTGTATCCCTGGGAAGTGTCAGAGTTATGTCTGCAAAAGGAAGTGGCTAAGAACAGGGAAGCACCCCTGAGTCCTAACCCCAGCAATCTTTTAGCTTGCAGCATGTAACAGCAGCCTGCTCTGCCTAACCATAGCGCCTGATATGCCCGACCATAGGATCTTATGCAAAACCTTCAAGCCAGAAAGGACCATTGTGATCATCTGGTGCGGCCTTCTGCATAGAACTTCACCCTGTGATGCCTACATCACCCTCATATGTGTGTGTGTGAGAGAGAAAGGAGAAAGAAGCGTTCTCTGCTCTACTCTGCACTGATTAGGCCTCAGTTGGAGCATTGGGGAGCAGTTCTGGGCACCACATTTCAGGAAAGATGTGGAGAAATTGAAGAGGGTCCGGAGAAGAGCAACAAAAATGATGAAAGGTCTGGAGAACATGACCGTTGAGGATGAAAGAATTGGGGTTGTTTAGTTTGGAAAAGAGATGACTGAGAGGGGACATGAGAGCAGTTTTCAAGTACCTAAAAAGGTGTCAAGTATCAGAGGGGGAGCCGTGTTAGTCTGAATCTGCAAAAGCGGCGAGGAGTCCTGTGGCACCTTATCGACTAACTGAAGTGTAGAAGCATAAGCTTTCGTGGGCAAAGACCCACTTCGTCAGATACAGGAGACCCACTTGCATCTGACAAAGTGGGTCTTTGCCCACGAAAGCTTATGCTCCTACACTTCAGTTAGTCGATAAGGTGCCACAGGACTCCTCGCCGCTTTTTCTAAAAAGGTGGTACATGGAAGAGGGAGAAAAATTGTTCTCCTTGGCCTCTGAGGATAAGAGAAGAAGCAATGGGCTTAAATTGCAGCAGGGGAGATTTAGGTTGGACATTAGGACAAACTTTCTATCTGTTAGGGTGGTTTAACACTGGAATAAATTACCCAGGGAGGTTGTGGAATCTCCATCACTGGAGATATTTAAAAGCAGATTAGACCAACACCTGTCAGGGATGGTCTAGATCAGTGTTTCTCAACCAATGGTACGAGTACCCTTAGAGGTACTCGAGAGAAATCTGGGGGGGTGGGGACGTCAGCACAGCTGAAATGTGGAGAAACTGATTTTTTGTTTTCAGTTTTACGGCTCTTTATACTTTTTGTACTTTTTACACCCAAACATGTTATCGCCCACTCAGCTACAATTAAGTTGTTTAAACAAATGTGTTGCAATGGTAGAAAAAAAATTAAGTGTCTGAAAACTGTAGGTACTGGGGGGGTCCTTATAATTTTTATAAAAAAAGGTTGCGAAACACTGGTCTAGATGGTGCTTGGTCCTGCTATGAGTGCAGGACACAGGACTTGATGACTTCTGGAGGCCCCTTCCAGTCCTATGATTCTATGAAAAATGCTGGGTAAGTGTGGAGAAATCCCTGTAGTATTATATTTTGTATTAAGATCTTGTCCTTTTAGATATATCTTTAAGTGTTCTTATAGAATCTCTGGAACATTTCTCCTATAACTTTGTATTAAGATATATAGATCTTGTAAGAAAAAATGTCTTTTGAGCTCTCCCCTTTCCTTGATTGCCCTGTTGAAATGAATGAGGTGTGAAAGGAGACTGAAAAGGGAGCACCTCCAGCAGCAGTTGCAAGGGTGGAGAGGGCCTGGGAGCCAGACCCAAGACAATACCTGCCAAGTGAGCTCATTAAGAAGACTGGACAGACAGACACCTTGGGAGTCAAGCAGCAAGTGCCTGCCCTTGGAAGAACTCTCTTTGAAGCAGCATTAAGAAAGGCGGGGTGATGACTAATTGGCTGCATGAGCGGGATAAATAGGAGGCATCTTGCAGCGGGACCCCGGGTTTTCATCTTGTTAACATGGGAGCATCGATCTGGATGGGCAGAAGCCCGGCTCCCCCCCTCCCCCATCTAACTCACCTGGCCAGTGCAGTTAGGGGGAGCAACTTTTGTTAACAACAAGATGGAGTGTGGTTGTGTGTGTGTGAGAGTGCATGAGTGTAATGTGTCATATGCATATGCTAAGTATTGATTGATCTATGGATGTTCAATAAATGTGGCGTGTTGCCTTATCCCCCTGAAAAAGATCCCGAGTATGCATAGTATGCATAGTTTTGCCCTTTTGCGCAATGATCTTGATGGAAACTAGCACTCCCAGCTTCCCCCTATGCTGGGCAGGTATCGATAGTCACCTCCCGCCCTTTACAGATGGAGAAACTGAGGCACAAAGATGGCCCCAGTGTCACCCAGCAAGTTAGGAACACATGGCAGGAGTCCTAGCTCCTGGCTCTAAGCTCAAACCAGAAGACCATGCTTTCCCTGCACTAAAGAACCACAGATTAAATTGCAGAGGAAATCTTCCCTTAAACCAAGCTGCCCTCACTCCAGTGTAAATTGCATGTCTGGCAGTGTCAAGCGAGGACTCAGAGGAGCCGGAAACATTTCTAAAACAAATGGGAGAAATCGGGCATCTTGCCGGTTTTGCAGAAAGGCGGAAAACAATGCGGAGGGGCAGAGAGGCAGGAGAGGAGAGGATGTGTTGCCAGCTGGACTTTGCCAGGGGCTTTTCCCATAAGCAATGCAATCTGTCTCATGGGTGGGAGGAAACTGACAATCTTATAGGACTGACACTTGAATATATATGTGTGTGAGAGAGAGAGAGAGGAGAGGGAAGTGTTCAACTGAAACCGGGAGAAATATTCTATAGACTTAGAGCACATTAAGGATTTTGTCTGGTTTAGCCAGGGAAATCAAAGGGACATTAATAATAATGATCTAACAGAAACTTTCCCACAGCCCTGGCAATTAATACAAATATTCGTTTAAGGCCACTCCATGAAATGACTAATGGGGAGTCATCAGCAATTGAACCCTAAACGCCCTGCAACATAGCCCAGATAGCTACTGCATCATCAAAAAGAGCAACTCCAACAGGTTGGACCTGAAGGGGGGTTCCAAAGAGGATGGAGAGAGGCTGTTCGCAGTAGTGATGGATGGCAGAACAAGGAGCAATGGTCTCAAATTACAGCGGGGGAGGTCTAGGTTGGATATTAGGAAAAACTATTTCACTAGGAGGGTGGTGAAGCGCTGGGCTGGGTTCCCTAGGGAGGGGGTGGAATCTCCATCCGTAGAAGTTTTTAAGTCTCAGCTTGACAAAGCCCTGGCTGGGTTGATTTAGTTGGGATTCCTGGGCAGGGGGACTCCTGAGGTCTCTTCCAGCCCTATGATTCTATGATTCTAAGAAGCAGCAGTTATAGTAGGCTGCTATCCTTTAGCTGATCAACCACCAGAGGTCAGCAGAGGATGCGCGGTGTGAGTGGGAAGTTATGTTTACAGATCTGGAGGCAAGCGGAAGTGGGGTTAACGATGTAGCGTCTAGATGAAGAAAGCCAAGTCAAGCAAGGCATAACAAGATGTAGTAATATAATATCTATCTATATATGTTAGAAACAGATCTCTGTCTAGCCGTCTGTGCATTAATTTGTGGAAGAACTCCTCCTAAACGGTAAGACCATCATATTTGGTCTCAAATGCATTAATTTGTGGAAGAACTCCTCCTAAACGGTAAGAACTAGGACCGTCGCATTTGGTATCAAGCTTCCTCTTATAACTTAAAGAAAGCTCAGAGGTTGGTTGTGCCAGGACAATGGGATGTGCCTAGAATGGGATTGGTTCTCATAAAATCGAAAGGAAGAGCTCTGCGATAGAATGGCCAGCAGGGGATATGGTATGGAAAGCAAGGACCATTATACTATATAATGACCACAGATGGGCAGCAAGGGGCCAGAGATGGGGACTGGGACAGTATAACCCCATTGGGCCAGCTGGGGACAGGAGTTCAGAAAGGAACAGCTATCTACGATATATTTGAGAGAGTTTGTCTGTGTGTCTGTCTGTCCCCCAGGTGGGAGACATGCACCCCTCCCCGAATGTTCCTGCTGGGGCTGCAGCGGCCATGGAGAGGCGCTTCTCATCTGGCCCCTAGCTGCTGCGCTGGGAGAGGGCTAAGGTAGTCCCCTCTCTCCCCAGGGCAGCCTATATCCTGAATCCCCCATCCCCGGCCCCACCCCAGAGCAATGATTTAAATGTAGAAAAACAAAAAATAATTGAGTTAAGGACCCGAGCAATGTGGGGTAAATCTTCTAGTAATAACACTATTATAGCAGTCGCTAACAGAGACGAGCTTTTGGGAGTATGTCTACACTACAGTGTTTTTTTGGAAAAACGGCGGGTTTTCCAAAAAAAACTTCAATTACGTCCACACTGCAATCGCGTCCTTTTGAAAAAAAATCGAAAGAACTGAGGGGGTTTTCCGGCATTGGTAAACCTCTTTCAACAAGGAAGAAGCCTTTTTGTGAAAGAGCTCTTTTGCAAAGAGGCGTGTGTGGATGTGGAAAAGGGAGTTCTTTCGCAAGAAGAAGAAAGAGGAAAAAGCCGAGATGCCTTGGTGGCCATTCTGCCCATAGTAATCACAGCTTATATGCGAGATAGCGTCCATTCAGTGTGGACGCTATCTGTCGAAAAAGCAGATCACTTTTCCGATGCGCTTTGGCAGTGTGGATGCTGTCTTTCGGAAGACTTTTTTTGGAAGATCTCTTCCAGAAAAGCTTCTTCTGATGGAAGCCTGCAGTCTAGACACAGCCTGAGGTATTGCCCTTACAACCAGGGGTTCCCAGTTTGATCCCCACCACTAGCCATTTGCATAGAGGTGTGGCATGATGTGGCCAACCCTTAATTAAAAGACACAAGCCTCTGTCAGACTCTTGTCTTGACCCAGCCAAGGAGAGCGGGAGAAGCTCCACACAGGAGGTGTCTTACACGTGCTGTCGGCTAACCATGGATAGTAGGGTCAGGGCATTCTTACCTTTGACCTTCACCTGCACGAGGTCATGCCCATCCTCTATGCCGTGCTGCACGTCACAGCGGTAGATCCCAGAGTCGTTGGACCGGAGCTCGCTCAGCACCAACGTGGCATCAGTGGGCGAGGCCGGGTAGAAGGGCAAGGAGACACGGTGGCGGTAGCCTTCGCTCACCTTTACCTTCTGCCCCCGGGCCACCAGGATCTCCGCCTCCTTCCCCTCTGAGACGAAGGTCCATTTGACCCGGGGCGCCCCCAGCACTGCCCGGCGCCCTGCCGTGCTGGAGGTGGCCAGGGGACGCACGTAGGTGACGTGGCAAGGGATGGTGAGGGTGCCCGACAGCACTGCCCGGATAGGAGGGTGTTTGGCGATGGAGACGCTCAGAGCCTTGAGGTCATCTGGAAGAGAGAGGGAAACAAAAGGTCAGCAGATGCTCGAGGCAGGGCCTGCATACTCCTGGCAGCCATCCATGGCCTAGCCACATTGTGGCTGCCTGTCTTCTGTGGGGATAGCACTTGGCTTGCCCTGCTCCACCAGCACAAGCTCCTGCTGCCTGAGCGAAAGGAGACGCCCCATTAGCTTTGCGCAGTATAGGGGCCATGACACACAAATAGGCAGTAACGATTCCATCCATTAGAGGTCACTGGTAACATACGCGCACATGGATGCGCACACTTGTGCCACCAGTAGAAGACAGTGGTACACACACACACACACACACACTCACCAATTCCATTGGTTGAGGTACGGCCACAAACAACACACATATGTCCATTGATTCTGTCCAGTCGCATACACACACATGCCAGTGCACTGCAATTTTTGGCAAGTTTCTCCATAAATTGCTGCTTTGCTGTCTCTTCACCCCCATTTGATTCCTCGGCAAATTTAACAGCCTGTGAATCCCTCTTGGACCTGGATTTCAATGTGACATCTGTCAGCTTGAACCTTCCTTGGTTTAAAACCACACTGACACCATCGGAGTTGTGATCTGACTGCTGTGTGTGCAAGTGGGGGTGTTGGGTTAGTTCCCAAGTAGCGTTAAAAGAGCAGTGAGACCATGGCCAGTCTAGTTCACAGTGCAAGTTCAACCCCACGTTCCCTCATCTTGTTATTTTTAGTTCTATTACCTTTGCACCGAGTCAGACATGCGCTTGGCGCTGTACAAACCCTGGGGTTTTTAATCTGAGCGGCTACCCACATTGAGAGCTGACTTGTGGGGTCTCTGCTGTTCTTTTAACCCAAGTTAGCTAACCCAAGTTGAGAACGCGCCTTGAGTTGCAGGGTGGAGGTATCCATAGAGACCTAACTAAAACGTGCTCCGGAAACCGACCTCTGGGCCAAATTCACCCTTGATGTGACTCCGTTGGCTTCACGCTTGGATTTGGCCACCGGTCTCTAATCCCAGAGTCCCTCACTCATTTCAGGATTTGCCCCTTATTCTTTCTGATTAATTACAAACAAAACAAACATTCATGTTGCAAAGTCAAGCCCTCCAAGGTTGGGAACTGCCGGAATGCTCTTGGCCCGTGCAACCGTGATTGGGCCCACGTGGGCATATGCATGGTGCTAGTCTGTAATCACATGATCACCTGCTTTTCCTCTCCCTGCCCCTGCTTGCAGAATGGACGGGGCTCGCTTGGTGAGCAGCTAATCCAGGCCTGGACAAAATACAGCCCACAGGCCACTGCAGGGAGCCCCAGGCAGGTTCCTTGCTTGCCTGGCCCCATCCCACATACCGCTCAGAACCATTTATTTTCAGAACTGTGAATCTGGAAGGGACAGGGAAGGCTTCAGGCGCTGCCTCTGCCCCCAGCACAATCCCATTGGCCAGTTTCTGGCCAGAAACCGGCCAATGAGAGCTGCCTGTTTCAATAACAGGCAGCCACGAAGAACAAGGGGCTCCAGAGCATCTGGCCGCTGCCTGTGCGGGGGCAGGGCAGGCAGCAGTGATCTCTCTAAGATGCGCAGCAGCACAGCTTCACGGGTGATTACTCAGCCCTGCCCAGTCAGAGGCTCAGGGGTCACTCTGTTTTCACCGCCACCCCCATGCAGGGACAGGGTGCTGTTATCCCCATCTTAGCATCGTACGGTCAAAGCCCCGCTCCCGCTGAGGACAGCTGCCAGTCGCACCCTTGGGCCTCAAGCCAGGCACTCAGAAAAGGAGGCGTGCCAATCAGCCCCCTTTGATTGAAGCACCTTGCCCTGCATCACGTGGGAATTCGGAAGGATCGAATCCAGGCCTGCCAATCGGGGAGGTTAAAGGGAGCAATTGCACAGGGACCCGGCGTTTCAAAGGGGCCTGGAGCTCTCTGGGCGGGGCTAAGGGCTGACTGCCTTTGACCCCGCCCCTTCTTGATGAGGCTCCGCCCCCTTCCAGGAGCATGGAGTTAGGCCTCCCACACACAGCTTGCCTCTCCGGGTCGACGGTGGCTGTCTGCCTGCAAGACAACATTCAACTGCAAGAACAGTGAGACCGTCCCTCTCTCTTCCTCTGCGCCCCTCCCAACTCTGCCCCAACAGGGCTCCCATGGACCCCTCAGCCACATCCCCAGAGCACCCTCCATTCTGTGTGCTGTGGCGGAGGCTGGGAGCGTACGATCATGTCATTAAACATGGTCTCAGGATGAATATGACCCAGTAGGACATTTTCTGGCATTTCCTGTCTCTTGGGGGCTTGGCTCTGCACAGGCCCAGCAGGGTTCTCTGTAAACTAAGTGCTTGGGCGGCTACCCAGGAGCGATTCCAATGCTGCCCAGCTGATTGGCAGAGCACCCACAGCCGGCAGGAGGTGTTTCTGTGGGTGGTGCACATGCCTTGGTGCATAGAACAAAATTTATTCCACACGTTAGTGGGAACAGTGAATGTAAGGCTAAAAACTGAGACCAACCACAGAATGGGGACTAACAAGCGAGCTGCTGGAAAGGAGCTGAGCGGTGGGGGTGGGGTCACTAACTGAATGATTGGACAACGTGGTACAGTCATGGAAAAGGCTAAAAGTATTGGGAGAGGGGTGCAAACAGGTGCTGTTTGTGAGGCAGGGGAGGTAATTGTCCTGTGTTGCTCGGTGTTAATGATCCCTCTCATTTTTTCCCATCCGTGTGTGGATGGTTCGGGTTGGCAGCCTCGGGTCACGCACATGCCTTGGTGCATAGAATAAAATTTATTCCACATGTTAGTGGGAACAGTGAATGTACAACAGTCCTATGAACGGGACCCACAGGGCCAGGGCAGCCTGGCACGAGGTGCTAGCAGAAGTCACCCCCCACCCACCCCTGCACTCAGTGCAGCTTTAGGAGCAGGAGGAACCCAGCAGCCTGCTCTGCTCCACCATCTCCCTGCCCGCTGCGCTCTGCAGAATGCCGTGGGAGGTGGGCGGTGGGCACAGCAGGCTGCCAGGTTGCTCTGGCTCCCACTGACATCATGGGGGGGGGTGTCAACCCCTAATGCCACCCCAAACCAGGCCTCCCAGGCAACCCCTAGTGCCGCCCCACACCAGGCCTCCCAGGCAACCCCTAGTGCCGCCCCACACCAGGCCTCCCAGGCAACCCCTAGTGCCGCCCCACACCAGGCCTCCCAGGCAACCCCTAGTGCCGCCCCACACCAGGCCTCCCAGGCAACCCCTAGTGCCGCCCCACACCAGGCCTCCCAGGCAACCCCTAGTGCCGCCCCACACCAGGCCTCCCAGGCAACCCCTAGTGCCGCCCCACACCAGGCCTCCCAGGCAACCCCTAGTGCCGCCCCACACCAGGCCTCCCAGGCAACCCCTAGTGCCGCCCCACACCAGGCCTCCCAGGCAACCCCTAGTGCCGCCCCACACCAGGCCTCCCAGGCAACCCCTAGTGCCGCCCCACACCAGGCCTCCCAGGCAACCCCTAGTGCCGCCCCACACCAGGCCTCCCAGGCAACCCCTAGTGCCGCCCCACACCAGGCCTCCCAGGCAACCCCTAGTGCCGCCCCACACCAGGCCTCCCAGGCAACCCCTAGTGCCGCCCCACACCAGGCCTCCCAGGCAACCCCTAGTGCCGCCCCACACCAGGCCTCCCAGGCAACCCCTAGTGCCGCCCCACACCAGGCCTCCCAGGCAACCCCTAGTGCCGCCCCACACCAGGCCTCCCAGGCAACCCCTAGTGCCGCCCCACACCAGGCCTCCCAGGCAACCCCTAGTGCCGCCCCACACCAGGCCTCCCAGGCAACCCCTAGTGCCGCCCCACACCAGGCCTCCCAGGCAACCCCTAGTGCCGCCCCACACCAGGCCTCCCAGGCAACCCCTAGTGCCGCCCCACACCAGGCCTCCCAGGCAACCCCTAGTGCCGCCCCACACCAGGCCTCCCAGGCAAGGGGACAGAACAGGGAGTGGGGGCAAGGCAGTGGCGTACAGGGTGGGGGTGGGTTCCCTGGGTACCGTGCCCTCCCCCGGCTTAGGAACGGTCCTGCCCATGGCCAATTGCCCTGCTTGCTGCATGGAAAAGCCTGGAACAACCAGTTAGAGTAGCACAGGTGGGCTGTGAAGTGTTTACAGCATGGGGGGGGGGAATTGAGACCCCCTGACCTAGCCCTGGTCTACACTAGGGAGTTACCCCGCTACCAAGCCCGTTATTTCAAAAGAAGGGGCTAGTTACTTCCACATAACAACTCCTGCTTTCCACAGGGAGTGACGCTCATTTCGAAATAGCGGTAGTGTGGACGCTCGGGTGCCGCTATTTCGAAATAACAACTCCTCGGCGTCATTCAGACCAAAGACTCCCCGGTGCTTCCCGGGGCTCTAAGTTGAGGCAGTGTGTCCACATGAACAGAGCCTGCCTCGGACTAATTTCGAGGCTTCCCCGTAGTATGGACACGTATTTCAAAATAGCTTCCTAGTGTAGACGTGCTCCCTAGAGACCTACCCAGAGCAAGTTCCCCGTAGTATGGACACGCTAGTTCGAAATTATCATTTCGGGAGTTATTTCAAAATAACTTCCTAGTGTAGACATTCTTCCTAGAGGCCTACCCAGAGCAAAACCAGGGTTTCATTGTGCTGGGCTCTGTGTGCGCCCATAGTAGGGGACAGATCACTGCCTGGGACCCAATGAGACGAGACATACTAAACAGAAGTTACTGGCCCAAGCTGAGGGGGAAGAGGCAAAGCTGGGACTAGAACCCAGGTCTCTAGAGGGGCAGCCCGGTGTCCTATGCAGTCCTACTGCCTCTCAAACCAGCGTTGAACAGTTTTCATGTACAGTCCCTGCAAAGCTGCCTGCCAACTGGCTCAGAGGGTACTGGCATTACCTGTACTGTCCCCAGAGATAAATGCATCTGTAAAAGCAAGACGGGCAAATACCCAGAGCAGCAGCATGGTGTCGGTCATCACTCCACCTGGGAGGGAGGAAAAACATAAGAGGAGTGAGTAAGCCCCTTCATTTTCAATTTTTACTGGAAAATACCTGGGTTTTACAATAAGAATTATTCAGGGTGAAGGAGGGACTGGAAAAAGATACATTTGCATACATAAATACCTTCTATAAAGGCCAGAGTTAAGGTTGCCCATGTAACCTTAATTCAGCCCCCTGGTGTGTGTGTCCATCATGATACCGTCTGTCATGAAATAATCAGTATATTTTCCACAGACTTCCTGCTCACTCAGGCTATGTCTACACTGCGGCAGTTTTTCGGAAGAGGAAATGCAAATGGAGGGCTCATTTGCAAATCTCGCGCTCTCATTTGCATATTCTCCTCCGATCCCTTTTGTGGAAGAGGTTTCTGCAATAAAAAGCTCTGTGTCGACGGGGCCGTTTGTCGGAAAAACCCTTTTGTGTGCAAGAGCCTGTAAACTTTTTGAGGAATAAGGGCACTTGCGCAAAATGGGTTTTTTCCGACAAATGGCCCCGTCAACACAGAGCTTTTTATCGCAGAAACCTCTTCCGCAAAAAGGATCGGAGGAGAATATGTAAATGAGAGCGCGAGATTTGCAAATGAGCCCTCCATTTGCATTTCCTCTTCCAAAAACCTGCCGCAGTGTAGACGTAGCCTCAGAGAAGGGGAAAGTTAATCAAGATCATCCTCGTCCCATGTGTCATTGACCACCCACCGCCTAAATTCAGCACTGAATACAGGTGTATCAATCCCCCAAGCCATGGTGAATATCTATTGCAGTATAAGCTCAGGCTCCAGCCGAACTCTTTTCCATCTACACACATGGCTCAGTTCTAGGGCCCCCGGACCCAAAAGCAGGAGAGGATCCGAGCCTGAGTCAAGCCGGGACCCAGGGTTCAAGTCCTATTGCTATGCACTATAGACACTGCCCTGTGCAGTCAGAGTCAACCCAGAGTATCCCACAATCCCATGGGCTGACGTTCTCTGCTCTCTGCACACTCAGCTTTGGTGGTGAGTCAAGATTTCCCACAGTGCACCACAAGACAAGGGCGGGAGGGGCTGGGCTCTGGGAGGGTGCTGGACAGTCTGGGATTTGGGAGGTGGGACTCGGGCCTGAATAAGGCCATGGTGGGCAACCGTGGCCCAAGGGCTGCCTGCGACCCATTTAGGGTTACCAGATGGTTTCAGAAAAAATACGGAACAACCCCCACCCCCCCCAAAAAAAACCACCAGAAAAATTCTGTTGAGGGGGGGAAAAAAGGGGGAGGGAGACCAAAGTTGTTGAGGGGGGGGGAAAGGACCCCCAAGAGTTATTAAGCAATAAATAAATAAATAAATAAATAAATAAATAAAAACAGTATGGCCCCTTTAATTGCGTGCAGAGTCAGACTAGGAAGAGGAAGAGGAGAGGTTGAGCACTAAGACCCAGGGGAGACATTGCATTTTTTTGCCAGCGGCCATCTTTTTTTTTTTGATCGAGCCAGAAGAGAGCTTCCCTGTGAAACCAAGTAAGCAGGAGGGCCAGGGGGGGTGGACCAGAGCCCAGGAGGTGTCCGGAGGCCGGGCCCAGTTTCTGAGTGTGTCGTAGGGTTGCCAGGTGTCCGGTATTTTTGCCTCCTGGCTGGGGAAAAAAATCAGAAAATACTGGACCTTTTAGGTGTCCGGTATTTTCTGACCGGACACCTGGCAATCCTAGAGCCAGTGGAGTTCTACATGAGGCCAGTGAGACATTGTGTTGACTGTTGCCCATGCACAGGGTTGCCCGATTCTGCTGGTTTCCATTTACGTCATTTTTTCCCCTACCAGTGTTACTAAAGTGACCCACACGTGGAGCCAGGGCAAGCAAAGTGAGGGGGGTGTGGCTTGCTCACAGTCAGTGTTGTGCACACCCGGCGCTCCCTCTGCAGCCAATCACAGCGCTGCTACGGTGCAGTCAGCACCCCCCGCACGTTCTAGGTGCACAAGTATAGTGAGCAAAGCGACCCTCCTGGTAGAACGTCTTGGTTACGCCCAACTAGTGAGCCACTGAAATGAAGGAGGCCACTCACGTGGCCACTCATTAACCTGGATTGCCCATTGCTGGTGTAGAAGCTGCAGCCCCCGGTTGAGACTCAGGGTTCAACCATTCCTGCCTGGGGGTGACATAAGACCCTAAGCCTCCTCACCCCAGGCTTACACTGCAGTTTAGACAGACCCTACATGTTTCCCTTTTGATAACGGATCGAGCCTCACAAATCTGGCCTCCTTTGAGCTGTTCTGTAACTGGTGAGCTGAGGCACAAAACTGTCTGTCAGGTGCCGAAAGGAGGGGCCAGCTTGTTGGTTTTGCTTGTTTTCGGTGTACTTAGCATTCGTTATTGCAAATATCGTGCACTGCCCTAGCCCACAGGAGCCCCGGTCCCAGACTGGGTCACCGTTGTGCACGGTGCTGTACAATCACAGGGGCACAGTGCATGTCCCCTCAGTGTGGGCTGCCGTTGTGAGCCTGCAGTGGGTCTGCAGATCTGGCCCCCGGCAACTTGGGTCTAGCCTCTACAAAAGGAGAAACGCCTCAGTTGTAGGCTGGGAGTTTGCCCTTCAGCACATGAGAACTGGAGAGGAGAGGCAGGGATAGAACCCAGTTCTACAGGGCGGCTAGAAGGGTTTTTATCTGGGACATCATCCCTTGCCTTATTCGCTGTGTAACGCCAACAGGCGGAACCAAACCTGGCACCCCTTGTGCTTAGTGCATGCGCCTCTATCGCTTGAGTTAAAAGCCAGCTGGTGCTCCGCTAAGGCCATAGAGGGGACTCCTTCTCTCTGTACGTGGTCTCAGGGCTGCTCCATGGGCCAGTGCGGTGCTCCGCTAAGGCCATAGAGGGGACTCCTTCTCTCTGTACGTGGTCTCAGGGCCGCTCCATGGGCCAGTGCACCACATGCAGTAGGTGTGTAGGTTACAACTGCACAGCTTCAGCTTCTGCAAGAAATGATCCTACAGACAACGTCCCTAGGGGCCGCAAGGCCCGGGATCCTCCTGTCTCTGCCCCTGGCTCTGCCCCGTCCCCAAAGCCCCCGACGCCCTCCCCGAGGGATGCCAGGAGCAGGCAGAGCAGAGCAGGGCCAGCTGTGCTGCCGCTACCCAACCCCACGTTCCCCTAAAGCGCGGAGGCCCTGAGAGGGCGACCACCCTGAATCATCCAATGGCTCTGCAAACAGCCACCTTTGCTACATCACCCCGGTTTGTTCCCAGAGCACCCGCCTTTCTGTGCATTGACTGAAGCCAGGGTCCTGGAGGGGAACACCGGGGATCCAATGTGCACTAAGGACCTTTCTACTCATCTCTGGCAGAGTGTGTGTGTGGCGAGGAGAATGGGGGGTTAAAAGGATCTAAATTAGCGTTCAGGGGCCGACGGCGTGAATGAGAATCTGGGTCTGGCGGTGCTGCTGTAAAACTGGCGCTGGCGCTTGCCAAGTTCTGCAACTCTCCCGAGGCCGGGAGAAGGGGGTTTGGATGCAGGGGCTCGGTTCTGGACTGTGCCTAATGCCCCCTTCCCCGCCCAGGATGACTGGCCTTTGGCAACAACCAGAGAGCCCCGCAAAACGAAGCCAAAATCTCCCAGCTCCATGGAGAGTGGGAAGCAACCCCTCACGCCGTGAGCTCAGGACGGCTGGACTTCTTTTGGGGGTCCGAACCCGAGAGGGGGTTCACTGCGTAGCGTGTGTGCCCCAGGACTTTGTGTGCCCCAGACAGTAGCTAGAGCCACGGGAGAGGCGGGGGCAGGGAGCTTCAAATGGATTTCACAGCCTTGGGAGGGAGAAGCCTGACAGGGCCGGCCTTTGAAATTCTGCTCACGCTAGAGGGTC